TGGGCAACTGTCACTGAACTTTCAGGGACGTGGCATTAGGCTTTCTGGGAATGGAGGTCAATGGACTGCCGCCCTCCAGTGAGCCCTGCAGCCAGAGGCAGGGCCAGGAGCCAGAGCCAGAAACGTTGGGTGGACGGGAGGAGAGGTCAGAGGAGGGTGGAGCAGAGGAAGCACCAGGTAGAGCCCTTTATGACTTAGAAAAAGCCACAGTAGCACATGGTCTGGGTACTGGGAGTAAGGTGGACCCTGCTGTATATGTGACCTGTGAGGGGCAGGCAGGCCAGGCAATTACCTACAGGCCCAGCCTGCTTATATTATCAGAGCTCATTAATGGGGGCCATTATGTCGGGAGAGAAGAGCAATTAGGACCGCTCAGACATTTAATCTTGGTGACTTTGGAACGCTACTGTGGCTGAGTCATAATCTGCTGCTTGTCACTGGGCACAATGCTGCGTGCCTTGGGGTCAAATCAAAGTGCCTGGGCCCGTGTGGACTCTGACCACGAGGCTCGGGGTCCCTGCCGCACAGGTTCATAGTGGCTATAAAAAAACCAGAAGAGAGGTGTGTGTGTGTGTGTGTGCGCGCGCGCGTGCGCGCGCGCAGGTGTGTGCTCACATGCGCACTCGTGCAGGGGAGAGAATAAACCAGACGCAGGCAAACACCAAACACAACGCAGCTCACACGCGCACGCACCTTGGCACACGAGTCCTGTGATCTCAGCACCCGGACCTCCCTCTTCTAATCTGTAGTTTCTTTCAGCTGCATACAGCGCACAGTCTCTGGGAGCCCCTGTGTCTCCTTTTGGGACAAATATGAGGTGGGGGAGTATATATGTACACATATGTAAAAATCATACTTGTTTTCAACTCACAGTCTTTGCAAAGAATCATTGCCTGGCTGAGGGAGAACAGGACTTTTGATGCCCTTTGCTCTGAACCTGGCTGGGGGCTGGGGTGGCCACGCTCCCCGGTGGCTGGGGTCGCACCTGGGCCCTGGAGCCCATCTCCTCACCTGTCATCAGGCCTTGGAGGGTGTTCTAGGGTAAAAACATCACAAAGTTTAGTAAAGCAAAAAGAAAAGTTTTATTCCGCATATGTTCAAAGAGGTAAAAGTAGGAAACGGACAAGCACGCTGCCACAGCTAACGTCTGCCCGAGTCCAAGGAAATACTACAGACCAGGCAAGAGTGGGAAAACGGACAAGCACGCTGCCACAGCCATGTCTGCCCGAGTCCAAGGAAATACTACAGAGCAGGCAAGAGTGGGAAAACGG